TATAGCTAGAGACTGTCTCTATTACCTATTAAAATCCAACCTGGTTTGGACGAAAAGTGGTAGAGCTACAGTAATTCTTAGTTGAGCTGGTGCATGGTGGAGGAGGTTTAGAACCACGATATCACCTAAAAAATCACAAAAGTCCCTCAGACGGCTGGGGAGAGAAAGCCTTTCTTACACCCTCATTGGTTAGAGAGATGGGGCTTGCGCCACTAAGGCTACTAGCAGGGGCTTGCCCCTGTCGAGGCTCTCTCCCCATCTCGTCTGAGCTTGCTGAGATAATAACTCCTCAATAAAGTTGATAGCGCTAGTCACGGATAAAGTTAGCCTGTTCTTGCTTCGCTTAGTCATGCTCAGTATACTAATGCGCCCCAGATTCCCTGACATTTGTTGTACGGCAAACCGGGTTCTTCTTGTATTTTGCCCTACTTCAACTTGGCTTTTAATTCTTTATGTCATAGTGTGAGCCGACAACAGGATAGCACAAACAGAAAGACCTAAGTCTGAAATATGTTCTCGAGTGGTGCGCTAGAGCAGAGCAATGAAATATTTTGGCCTGAAATTGCGTTGGTAAAGAGACTCGAAGATGGTCCTTAGTCTCCCCGAAGCGGTTTTGAGCGTTGCAGGATATTATACCGTGAGATTATCCTCTCTGAACTCGTATTCTACGAGAAGTTGTTACAAGGACATATAAACATCTATATATTCCCTGCCCTGTGTGACGACTGCTCTCGGAGAATTGTTAGGACAACGAGGAGCTAAAATTAATTAGATTCCAACATCATAGCGGCATATGAATGATGTAGTCTATTGGATTTGGGATATGTTCTTAAAGCGTCTGGACTCTAGATATAAATGTCGATGATGGTGATGCTGAGTGAGAATGGTAGCAATGTGACGATGCTCTTCATTGCGATTCAACACCATTCTGTCCACGTCACTGGACCAGAAATAGAAAACCTGACCAAGAACCTGAAGTCTGATTTGATTCAAACGTAGGGAGTACAAAAACGATGACACGCTATGCCTCAACCAAAACAAGCCGTCCCAAACGCCATCCATTCTCTGGTCCACACTTCCCCCTTTCATCCAACAAGACTAAATCCCCCTAACTTTCCTATAACTTGGCGGCCTTAATGTTCTCCCCAAAATCTTGCCCGCATACGGCGGGATGAGACTAATCGCCGCCACCACCGCAAACCTCCACCAAAATCCCGGACTCATCAAATACTCCAGCATAAAATACCTCTGCAAGAACGGCACGCTTCCGAAATAGATCCCCGCGGTCCCCACAATCGAAGCGATCATAATCCAATGCCAAGTGGTAACTTCCATGGCTACCATAATGAGTTCGTTCATAACGAGCACGGTGAAAGACACGGAGACCATGCGCTTGAACACTGGATCTTCGGCATCCGTGCCCACGCCGACAAGGAGTTGTGAGAGGCCTTGGATGATGGTGCCTTGGTACACAGATACGAGAACCCAGATGAAGAAGGACTTGTAGGATAGGGAGCGGCCGGATTTGAGTTCGGCGTAGAGCTCGGGGTAGAGGTTTGCAACTGATTCGTCGACGTCACGGTCGAGGACGAGGGAGAAGACGGGTGCCATTGTGTAGACGGTTGAGTAGCCGACGAGGAGCCAGTCCATGTAGAGAGCGTTCGGTTCAAAGCGCGAGGCGATGCTGTACACGGTTTGGCAGATGCTGATTATGAGACCACGATGGATGACGAATTGGGAGAGCTTTGCACTACGCTTGTAGCTGTTCCTTCCGTGCCAGACTAGTAACTTGACGAGGTAGCAGAATTGCTCGATGGAGAAGTCGGCTGCGAGAGATGCTTGTCGGCCTTCTTTCCCGACGATGCCGACCCCGACGTCGGCGGCTTGAATCATGGAGACATCGTTGCCACCGTCGCCGATGCAGCATACGCGTTTTTTTGTGTGTTCACGGATGAGTTTTGCAATGTCGGCTTTCTGGGTGGGGGAGCAACGACAGGCGACAACAGCAGGGAGGAGGACAGCTATGGAGATGAATTGTTCACGGTAGTGCGTCAGCATGAGAGCGAGTGATTCGCCGTCGATGAGAAGACAGGCGTCAGTCTTGCCGCGGAGGAAGTCGAGGGAGTCGTGTGCGAGGTCTTTTCGTTTCACTAGTGTATGTTAGTGATTGATATGAATGAGGTGAGAAGAGAAACCCACTCTTTGCGATAGTATGAACGTACTGTCCTCTAGCGACAAGCTTAGAACTGACCGCAACACAACGGGCAGTTTCGACCTTATCTCCCGTCAGCATCCAAATTTTTATCCCGGCATTGCGGAGGAGCTCTAGTGAAGGCTTGACGTCTTTCTGCAATTTATCTTCGACACCCGTGACACCAAGAAGCTCCAAGTCGTGCTCGAGATATTCCTTGACAACGTCCGCCACAGCATTATCTCGGTTATGCAATGCTAGTGAAGCCTGAGCATGTTTGGTCGAGAACTCCTCGTAAGTCTGTGCAGACAGTTTCTTGCGACCGACAACAAGGGTTCGGAGACCTTCTCGTGCCATGTTGGCTGTTTCTTCCTCTAACCAGTCGTTTGCTGCAACGATGGACGTCATGACAGTATCCGCTCCTTTTTGGTAGAACCAGATTTCGCCACCTTCGTCGGTTGCGGAGGATTCCACGCCGTGGTAAAACTTGACGACAATACCCATTCGCTTGCCTTCTGATGTAAATGGAAAGACGTTAAGAATGCGAACACGGACGGCGATATTTCCGGTGTCACAGGACTGGAGGGTCATTGATTCTCGGTCTCGCTGCAACAGCCTCAGTCCAACATGCTCGGTCCAGCGAACGATGGCGATCTCGTCCGGCGATGAAGCTTGATATGTCGTGACAATTTCTCCATTTTCTTCTTCGGCAGTGGGGGTGACGTTGTGGCAGATGGCTAATGCTAGAACGACATCACGGACACGAGACCCAATCTCTCTCCGCGTTCGGGTCGCTGAAGTGAGAGGGGCGGTGTAGATGGAAGATGGGGTGTTGAGGGTTGGTGCTTCCCCACTGTGAGGATTGAAGCTTTGTCGAACATATGAAGAAACCTCGTCCATGGCTTCGTTGGCGTAAGAGACAGTTCCGACGTGAATCTTCTTCATCTCCATCTCTGCTTCAATTAACAATGTGCTCCATCTATTTTTTTTAGGTGTACATACCATTCTGAGTAAGTGTACCAGTCTTGTCGCTTAACAAATATTCAATACGACCCAAATCCTCTGGAATAGTGCTGGTTCGCACAACAGTACCAGGTATGCTCGAGTCGTGCTCAATGAACCATGCGTACACTGATTTGCCCATATCCAGATTTACCCGCAGACCGACCGGAACGATGGTTGAGAAGAGGATTAGGAATCGAAACATCGAAACGTACCAATGGCGGCCATCAATATCTCGGAACCGTGCTAGAGCTACAAGAATGAACGACAAGGAGAGTGTGAAGATGCACAGAAATTTTGTCAACGAGTTAATCTCGTACTCTAGCAGACCCGTCTTCGATCTCGAGGGTGAGGTTGAGAGCGCTTGGCGAGTTTGCGGCCCAGTATATACGACGACGGCTAGGACGTTACAGCTTGATGCAAGTACTGTGTTCGCCCATACTGTGTTGTCGATGTTGAGGGGGGCTGAATGGACTGCCTGAGATTCGGTAAGCCGGTCTTGTTGATCATGAGGGTCGTATTGTCGCTGGCGCTTTGGGGCAAGCTCTACTGTGCCAAAGAACTCGTTGACCTTCCTATCAGGTTTACCGGCAACGACACGTAATCTTGTGAACTCTCCCACGTCTAAATTCTGGGTTAAAGGGGACGTCAGGCGCAACTTCCAGTCAGTTTCGCCGTCCAATTGATCGGTTCGGATGAAAGCCTCCCCTGATGCCCCCGCGGGTGTAGATGCTTTGGTGCTGTTATCACCTTTCGGTGGGTTTTCGACAGAGCCTAAGAGGCCATTTGCCTCGTCGTCCACCAAGGTAGGCGATGGATCAGGCACGCTTGCTGCTGTAATTTCGACAGGAGTACTCTCCTGGGAATAGCTCTTCAATATCACCATATCGGCTGGTACTCTCTGGTCTTTTCCAAGCTTGACCACATCTCCAACCTTCAGACTTCGGGAAGGCTTGATGATCTCGTGGAAGCTTGCGGTCGCTAGCCCTATTGTAGTCGATAGTCGCTCTTCTTCGTCCTCAATATCAGTTAGGCGGCCACTCTTCCTCTTCGCTCTCTTCGCCTTCCGCTTCGTGTCGGAGCTCTTGCCTGGAGCAACTCCATTCCCCACGCTATTTTCCTCAAACTTCAAGACCGTGTATCCCTCCGAATTCGCCTCGGCGTCCCTGCGCCGTCGTGCGATGTCATCAAGAGCCTCCTTTCCTAGGGTAACGGATATAACGAACGCCAGTGGTACGATGTAGGTGGAAAGATAACCGATGCGCAAGGGTTTTATGATCTGCGATAGCGCAACAAGCAAGAAATACATGTTAATGAAGAAAGAGAACTCATTATACAGAGTCCGAGGCAGAAAACTCCAAGGGGTGTATTTAGCATTTGAGACGGCGTTGGCGGGGAATCGCGAGATCTGAAGTTGGCCGACCGATATGGTCCGCTGGGAAGTCGGGTCGTGCTCTTCCTCGGCTTCCAGATCGACCTCACGGGGCTGATCTCTGGGGGTCGTCGGCCGGGACCCCGAGGACAAAAAGCTGGGGAGTCGAAGAGTTGATCCGAGTCGCGACAGGGCACTGGACGCCCGCTCATGTCTGCGACGCCGCCCGTAGCTGGAGGGTAGGAGGGGGACATCGTCATCCCCCGACTGCCCGAAGCTGCCCCCAGAGCTTCTATTAGTAGCGCCCTCGTCCTCTATGAGCCCGCTCAGATCGTCCTCTTCTACCTCTTGGCTGGCAGCAGTTCTCCGGCTGGCTCTGAGTCTGCCCACCCTCAGATTCCGGAGCGGTATCCTCGCGCCAAGCTCATGGAAGGGCTTCCTGTCCTCCTTTGATTGCCGGCGGGGGGGGGAGGGGGGTGCCCTCGAGGAGGAGGCGAGAGGGTCGAGTTCTTCGAGGTCAAGTTCAAGATCAGAATCGTCGTCGGGGGCATTTGGCTGGTGGTATTGATGAGGGGCAGACATGGCTCATGTGGGGGATCGGGAGGGACGGAAGTTGCGGTGGAAGAGCAGCCGCTATATCGAGGTCATGTGGGAGTATAGCGAGAGAGTCTATTCGTGGTCTCTAGGGCGTGTTTGAGAGGTGTTCTTTCCGTGGAGCAGCGCAGCGGGCAGATGCTCCGTCTGGACCGTTCCGCAGCGATTTGGAGCTTCGTGGCGGCTGCGATGCTGGCAACGACGGCCTGAGGACTAACGTGAATTGCAGTGGAGTGAATGCCGGCGTGTATATGAAAAACAAAGGTGCAGGCGGCAGTGCAGAGCGCAGCCGTTATAGTTGCGTCCCCTTGACGCCACTGTGGCTGACTTCAAACGCGGCCCGCGCAAGGACCGGGATGCTCTCGCTCTCAATCAATCGACCCGGGAACACATGGCATCTTCATCTTACCCACCAACCCAGACCTTGCTCTGCCGCATCGTGTCCTTTTCCTGATCCATTGCGTGGCTCCTTCACTGCGACGCGCCCTCTCATGTTGGCTGGAGTTCTGCGCCTGCTTTCACTGTTTATTGTCTCTTCTGCTTCTCCTGTATAGGTACGTGAACCCCCGTGACGTCGAAAGGGATGGCCTTACGTCTCCTATCTTCAAGCACCAACCCCAAAAATCTGCGATCATCCCCCGCCGTTATTACGCCGCTGGCTCGCACTTTCTATTTCACCCTGTCCAGCTCCTTCCAACCTCCCTTCTCCCTTTTTGTCCACGGCGCATCTGCAGATGATGCTCCCACTCAACGCTCCGGCATCATCATCGCCGAGGCCCTCCCTTTGAATCGGACCGTGGACGATTCCCACGCTGACTCGCCTTCTCTAGCCTTTTCATATACCCTTTTTACTATACACAATAATTGCCATAATGGAACACGACGATGCCCCCAATTTCTCCTACGCGTTCGGCAACACCTCCACATTCGCGTCCGCCTCTTGGAATCCGGCCCTACGACCCGACTCGGAAGACGTCCGCCCGGTTGCACCCATCGCAAAACACTCGGAATCATCACAAGAGGAGACCATGCACGTGCAGATAACGACGGAATCGCGTGGTGCGCAGGATGACGATCTCTCCACTGCGTCCGCCTTATCTCCGCGTACCCAGAACATCTTCCCCGATAAGGAACCCACGTCTGAAGACAACTTCCTCGATCGCTATGGTGGCGAACATGCCTCAAAGACTCTTCCACCACCGCCGGAACAAGTAAATGGGCACGGAAATGGGGTAGTCTATGAAGCTCCTATTGGCGCAGAGCAGGGCCTCGACCTGGGAGAACAGATTACGCATGGCATGAATGGAAGCCTGGGCAGCGCGATTGACTGGGCCCAACTAGATTTGCATGAAGAGAGCGCTCTTGAGGATAGCAAGCTTCCCGAAGAGCATGCCCCCGCAGAGAACTATGAGGCTCAGAGGAAAATAACTCTCTTGGAGGAGGCCGTGACCGAGAGCGCACAATCTTCGGTCGTTGCGGACCATGAGCCGGCGACCGACGATTGGGGAGCTTCAGATGAGGTCTTTGACCTCGGTGGGAAGCTGCAGGAGGCACCACTTCCACTTCCAACTCCTCCAGCGGAGGCCGTTGGGACTGCGGTCGGAGATCAGCTCATCGGAAACTCAAGCATTAGCGGGACCACTGGACATGAAATAGATTGGGGGAATGGAGATAATCACGACTTGTTCGGCAGCGGGGATGGGCAGCTGATCGAAAGCCGACAGCTCTTGGAAGCGACTCCTGGAGCGCACGTAATGCAAGACTCAGGGGCGAAGCCTGCTCCTACTGGAGATATGTGGGATCTGGCATTGGATGATGATTTCTTGCCCGACAACGACGGAGTAGCTGCCCCCTTTGAATTGGATGACGAGGGTTTCCTGGAAGATGAGCCATCCCAGCCAGCTCAACATCATACGCAACCAGCTGAAGGCTCAAGTACCACTAGCAGATATGCTCCTCAAATCGCGCAGCCACCAGCCCCAGCACCCAATGCATTCGGGCCCCAGGGACCACAATTCACTGATTTCTCTCAGCTGGACGCAAAGAAACCTATGACCACGCCCAATGTAAGATATGGCGGCTACACCCAACCATCTCCATATCAGCAGCAGGCGGAGAGACCCGCAATACCTAGCTCTGCTCAAAGCTTCGCGGACAAGGCCAAAGGTGGCTATCATTCTCCTTTTGACCTCCCTGAGGATATTGTGTCGAATCGAAAGCGGCCAACGGTCCATCATCATACAACTCCTCCTGTACTGCCCACCCCACCACCACCACCACCACGGAGTAGCAGTATGTATTCGAACACTAGTGTCCCTGGTCAGCGTCCACCACCACCTTCGAGCATGTCTGTTTCTAGTTTGTCTCCCCCGTCCTCGAGCCATTCGATGAAGTCGCCACTGAGCGGGATGCCATCTTCAACAAAACCAGCAGCGCCTTCTAAGACAGCTTCAAGCGACTTCTTCGCTGAGCTACCTGTGGCCTCGAAACCAAAACCATCAGGCCGCTATACTCCTCAACAACACCACCCGTCTCCTCAGTCACACCACGCCCCTCCACAACTCCCGCCCAAAGAGCGGACTAGTTCGTGGTCTTCGCTGCGAAATGAGGTGCTCCCTGATGCCACCAACCTTATCCCGCAGTTTCAACCGCCGGAAAGGCTGCCAGCCTTCCCGGATTTCCCTTCAGCGCCTGCAAGATCCAACAGCCTTCCAGTGCCTCAGCCAGGCACTGCACCCGCCCCTTCCCCATCCAGATATTCTCCAGCCCCTCCACCAGCCGCCTCCACGGTCAACGCCCGGTATTCTCCCGCACCGCCAGCGGCTCCAGCAGCAAGTGCAAGGTATTCTCCGGCGCCGCCTCCGCAAGGGCCTGCCCACAATCGCTTTGTCTCTGAACCCATGAATGGACTACCAAAGCCACCTCCTCAGCCTTATGCTCCTCGCACTTCAAGTCCCCTTGCTCAACATACCGCTCAACAGGATCCGGCCGCCACACCTCAAACAGTGCCAGACCAGTCCACTCATCAAGGCCATCACGTTATGTACTCCGTTGATAGCGTTCCACGGATCCCCATGAGACGTCCGCTCGAAGAAGTCAGCGAGATCGAAGAACAGGAACAGGAGCAAGATGCCAGACACATCTCAGGACGACCAGTGCCTGCACGATCAGAGACTCCACCCCCAAGCGGTCTTTCTTCCACTGTTGGTTCGCCCAGAAAGCGGTCGAATTATACTCCACAGTACCAGCCAGGTCCCCCACCTTCAGCAACACATGTAGCCCCACCACGGCGGTCTCTATCACAATCTCCTGGCGCGACAATGAAAAGTCCCCTGCGGGCCCTTTCTTCGGTCGAGCGCCCTGCATCTTCACATGGGATTATGTCTCCTGCTTCCAACTATGGCATTCCAAGCGCTATTCCAAATGTTGTTCAGAGTACTGTAAATGTCATTCCTCATAAACGCCATGTGTCACACGATTTCGAATACATCCCCCCTACGGACGAGCGCGTAGCTGACCCCCTTTCCCGATGGAAAGGCTATCCAATCTTCACATGGGGATTGGGAGGCACCGTTGTCACCAGCTTGCCCAAGCAGATTCCGCGTTACGGTGGCGGATCATCTATGCCGATGATGAAGTGCAGCCCGGGAGAGGTGAAAATCCAGAATATGAGAGATATCCTGCCTATGCCTGAAGATATTGCGAAGTTCCCTGGTCCACTCAAGTCGAAGAATAAAAAGAAGGATGCATCAGCTTGGCTGGGACGGAAAATTGAGGTCTTAGAAAGCCAGTTGAAGGCCCCCGGCATCGACCAGTCCATGAATGTAGACGACATAAAACGCTTGGAAGAGAAGGCCCTGCTTTGGAAGATCATGCAGGTTTTGGTGGACAATGACGGGCATCTAGAGGGTAACGCCACAGTCGAGGCAGCCGTTCGCAAAGTGCTGTCCTATGATGATCTAGACTCAAACGATTCTACCAACTCCTTATCGACCGGGGCAGATCTTGTCGGCGTCTCAAGGTCAAACACTGTGCCTGTTCAGGCTGATCCAATCGATCCCAAAGTGGTGCAAGAACTGCGGACGTTGCTCACAAAGGGTGATCGCGAGAAGGCTGTATGGCATGCCGTCGACCAACGACTATGGGCTCATGCGATGCTTCTCTCTTCAACTCTCAATAAAGACATCTGGAAACAGGTCGTACAAGAATTCGTCCGAAAGGAAGTTAAGAAAATGGGAGGAAATAATCAAGCTCTCGCGGTTCTGTATGAGATCTTTGCGGGTAACTGGGAGGATTGCGTCGATGAACTCGTCCCTGCATCTGCTCGAGCTGGTTTCCAGATGCTGAGTACCGACGGCGCCGGATCGACCCAGAATGCCCTCCAAGGGCTTGAGAAGTGGCGCGAAACACTGTCCCTGATTCTCAATAACCGCAGTGAGGGTGATGTGCAGGCCCTACTTTCTCTCGGAAAGCTTCTCGCTGGCTATAGAAGGGTTGAAGCGGCACACATTTGCTTCCTCTTTGCACGCTCTGCTGCGTACGTTGGTGGCGTTGACGACACTCAATCAGACATTGTTCTCGTTGGGACTGATCATCGCTTGAATCCTCTGGAGTTGGGTAACGATCTTGAACCAGTGCTCTTGACTGAGGTCTACGAGTTTGCGCTGTCGTTATCAGCACCCAGTGGCTCACACGTCATCCCCCACCTGCAAAACTACAAGCTTGCCCACGCCTACCTGTTGGCTGAGTACGGACAAAAGACAGATGCTCAGACGTATTGCGACGCCATTGCTGTTGCGATGAAGTCAACAACACGGGTTTCACCTTACTACCATGGAGCCTTCATTGCGAGCTTGGATGACCTTAGCAAACGCCTATCTCAATCTCCCAAAGACGGCTCTTCGTCGTGGATCTCTAAACCTAGCATGGACAAAGTGTCAAACACCCTGCTGTCCAAGTTCAATAGTTTTATTACTGGCGATGACGATGACACGGCATCAAACCATTCTGCAGGCAATGAAGTGGGACCGTTTGCGAAGATCGCTGGAAACACTCCATCAATCAGCCCATCTCAATCGGGTAGTGACCTATACGGGACGTACTTTGGAGGTGGCGTTGCGCCAGCTTCTCTCCCCTCTAACTCGCGATATGCACCATCAAATGCGTATGCTCCCAGAGGCTCACTAGACCAGGGCACCTCTCGCTACGAGCCACCCGGTCGAACTTCAATGGAATCCGCTGATGGGGGGCTTGCGATGCGACAGCCATCAAGCAACTACTTGCCTTCCCCTCAACTCTCCGGTCCCTACACCCCATCTCAACCTCCCTATAGTCCGCCCAGCACGAGGACACAAGCTCCAAAGACACAGTCGTACTCCCCACTTAAGGCCGACGCACCCACTCCTACGTATGGCAGCCCTTACCAATCGATTCCTACAGAAGAACCTTCGCCAAGCTTCGGGGGATACCAGCCTCTATCTACTTTCGATGATACACCACCGTCCGAGCCTGCCCAGACATCTGACGGATACGAGCCTCCATCGATAAGCTATGAGCCGCCGACAAGCTCCTACGAACCTCCGACCTACCAGCCGTACAGCCCTGACGACGGAGATGCATCACCCGTCGAGAAGCCCAAAAAGAACAAATCGATCATGGATGACGATGACGATGACGACATCACTACGCGCGCCGCCGCCCTCAAGGGCAACAAGAAATCCGAAGCGGATCGTAAAGCCGACGAAGCCTTCCGGAAAGCCGCCGAAGCAGATGCAGCCCGTGACAAAGACACTAGGAAATCGTCTGGTTGGTTTGGCGGATGGTTCAAGAAAGATCCCAACGCGGCTCCTGGCCCCATCAAAGCGAAACTGGGAGAGGAGAATAACTTCTACTACGACCCCGAACTCAAGAAATGGGTCAACAAGAAAGCAGGTGCACAGGAAGCTAGTAAACCCATCGCAACGCTGCCACCCCCGAAAAGCGGTCCTCCGAGTCGCAGTGTTAGCGGTAATAGCGTATCCGCGAACCACGCGTTAGGTGGTATGGGTCCACCTTTAGGCTCGAGCCTACCACACGCACTCTCCGCCCCGACGTCACGTCCACCAACGAGTAACCCGCAAAGGAGTTCGAGTATGCCGCCACCAATGAGTGGGCCTGGGTCTAGGGCCTCGACACCCGGTATTCCGAGTGATAGTGAAGGGTCTAAGTTGCCGACACTCATGCCGCCGACTTTGGGATCGAGTGGTCCGCCTTCGAGACCAAGTACGGGCATGAGTAATGCGTCGAGCATTGAGGATTTGATTGGGGCGCCGGCGGCAAGGAAGGGGGGTGCGAAGAAGGGGAAGAGGGGGGGAAGGTATGTTGATGTAATGGCGAAGCCGTAGTGATGATAGCGTGCTTGTGATAGTAGGGTAGGCGTGGTGGTGAAGTTTGAGCTAGGGTAGTGGTAACGGAATTCAGATGGCGTTTACAGGACGGGTTTTTGAGTCGGATTTTCGGTCGGCGTTTTACGAAGGACTTGGTTGGTATTGTGATTTGGTTTACAGGGCCGTACTTCACGTCCCTTTTGCTATCCTTCGTTGTACGAGGATGAGGGGTATTGTGCAGACGAGCGTTGGGGCATCTCCCTCGTAGAAAAAATGTGAGTTTCATTTGATGCTGTTACTGCTTGTAGTATGGTTTTAATATTTATACTTCCTTTCTTCCTTATCTTAATTCATTCGACTCTGTTAAGATAACCTGACGTCGAAGCTTGGAAGGAGCATGATAGGCGGTTATTTGGGGTTGAATATGGCATCATCTTTATGTTCTTGTTAATTCTATCAAGACAGCTGGTGGATCAAACTAACTCTCATGATTTTCCATGGGAGCGCTAGATATGTTGTAAGGCTAGGTGGTGATCATCATCAACACTTCTTCAGTACAACCGCCTTCTGAACCCAACTCCCACCTCCCCCACACAACTTTCACTTAGAATTTAGATACTCAGCAGGCAAAAAATGCCAGCCACCCACTTTAGAGGGGTGGAGCGCGCCAAAGTCCATAAATATCGCTAGACGTTGAGTGTCTGTCCGAGTCTATGTCTGAATCTTTGGAATCAGGGTACGAGGAAATAAACCCGTCACCCCTCAACTTCAGTTTGCCCTTCACACTTCACATCTTTAAGCCACAGTCTCTAGAATCTTACGGCAAGTGGGTTATAGTACTGTTCTGAGCAAAAATTTGTTTAAAATAGCCAGGCCAATAGGGTCATATATATATTCCGGAGTCTCGAATCTAAAAATATTCATGGTGTCGATCCATGTGCAGTGGGGCCTGGCTGGAACTGAATGATATTTCAATATCTCTGGGCATGTAGATACGGTGTAAGTTCCGCGAAGGGTATGTATGACCTCTTATGTTGAGTGTTTTGATCTTAACCTCTCCAGTAAGATAAACAGCAAACGAAGCAAAATATTTGTGGGCTTTTCACTATAGCTCGAGCTATTGATAGATGGTATCTATGATATGCTGTTCTGTGTCGTCCCTCAACCTATACTCCACCCTCGCAAGCGAAAACTGGCTTCCGTCCAAGTGCAGGATGAAGAGTTCAAAAGATGCTGCAACTTACTGCCCCCACCCCGGTCTCTCGTTCATCTGTTGCCTGCCTTCCACTTTCGTTGCGCCTCACTGTGCTATGATGGATCCGCTCAGCATAACCGCCAGCACCATTGGTATTCTACAGCTTTCGAGCAAGGTAATCGAGACCTCGACGAAGTCAAAGATTGCCCCGAAAGACCGCGCACAATGTGCTATTGAAGCATCAAATCTCCGCTATCTTCTTACTATGTTAAAAAACCGACTTGGGGGAACTTCCAACGAGCCTTGGTATAAATGGGCCCAAGAACTTGGTAGGAAGGATGGCCCGCTTGACCAGTATAAGCTTGCATTGGAACAGTTGCAGGGAAAAATAACAAGGCAAGGAGGAATAAAGAATATACGTCAGCTTCTTCTTGGGAAATTTATTAAAGGTGAAATCATGGAGTTGATGACACGGATAGCACGCTTGACGATGATTGTGCAGGTCGCTTTAGAAATGGGCCATTTGTTAGTCTTATGTTTGATCAAGAACTCACGCCCTTATAGAAAACTTTCTCAAGCGATCGGAAAAGGCGTCGACACAATTCAGCAACAGCAGAGCCACGACCAGCATAATCAAATTCGGAATGGATCTCTCTAACGAACTTTCCAGCCTAGCAATCGGATTTTATTGCCCGGAGACAAGAGGGAGCTGGTCTATGGTTCCTTAACCCTGTAGAGTACTTTGAGTGGATTCAAGGATCGCAGAAGACCCTTTTCTGTCCCGGTATCCCCTGTGCTGGCAAGACTATGATGGCTGCAATCACGATTGATCACTTGTTGGGATCTGTCCATTGCAACGATACTGGAGTGGCATATTTATATTGCAACTACAAAGCGCAAGCAGATCAGACAACTACTAATCTACTTGCCGCCATTCTGAAACAGCTAGTTCAGGGTCGGCCATCAGCAGCGGAACCCGTAGTATGCTTCTACAATTATCACATCAGATATAGGACAAAATCATTGCTTGAAGAAGTTTCCAATGCTTTACACTCAGTACTTACTAGTTGCTTGATTGTGTATCTTGTTGTCGATGCCTGGGATGAATGTTCGAACAAAGAAGGCACGCGCAGCCAGCTTCTCAACAAGCTTCATGATTTGCAAACTCAAACAGATCTACAACTCATGGTTACCTCTCCGTTTATTTTAGCTATAGTGAGCGAGATCTAATCAGCACTAAAGCTTGAGGTTCGAACAAGTGAGGCGGATGTAAAACAGTTCATAAAGGCCAAGATAAGCCAATTACCCAACTTCATTCAACGTGACACTGCACTACAGGTAGTAGGGGCAAGAGAAACTGGTAGAAGCAGTAGATGGGATGTTAGTACAGTGTGGCAGTTTAGACAATACTCAAGCTTACTACTCTCCTAGGTTCCTTCTTGCTCGTCTCCATTTTGGCTCCCTTCTCGACAACACGAAAAAGAAAGTCCGAGCAGCGCTTGATAAGCTCCCGGAAGGCTCTGTGGCACTTAGCCAGGCATATGATGAAGCGATTAAGAGAAGTGAGGGCCAATTTCCGGGGAAGAGCAGGCTGGCGAAGAACGTTCTCTCCTGGATTATGTATACAGAGAGTCCACTTACAATAGGGGAGATATGTCACGCGTTAGTGGTGGAACTAGATGAGGATGAGCTAGACCTAGAGAACCCCGGATGTCGAAGATCTTGTCTTAGTCTGTGCTGGCCTTGTCACTGTGAACGAGGGGAGTAATATCATCCGTCTAGTACACTACACTACCCAGGAGTATTTCGAGAGGATTAGAAAAGAGTGGAATCATAGCGCACAGATGGAAATTGCATTGACGTGCCTCACTTAGCTATCCTTCAATATATTTAGAAGCGGTAGTTGTTCTAGGGACGAAGATTTTCAGAGCAGGTTAGACCAGAACCCGTTCTTAGACTATGCTGCTCTTTACTGTGGAAGACGCATTAACTGTTCAATAGGAGGTTTGTGAATTAGCATATTCCTTTCTTCCCCATGGCCGCTCGGTTTCGTGTGCTGTGTAGGTAATGTTAGCTCTAGATTTTAGGTTTCCAGGATACAGCCAAGTTTATCCAAAAGGAATAACAGGCCTGCACATGGGAGCACAATTTGGATTGCCTAGGATATCAGAGGAGCTGCTGGCTAAGATAGGGGGAGAGGTAATACTATCAGCCAATGAGAGAGACAGTAACGGTCAAACTCCGCTGCATTTTGCGGCAAGATATGGGCCGTATAAAATGATGAAGCTGCTGCTTGATAAGGGCGCCGACCTCCACGCACAATCTAGATACTATGGTATCGCGCTCCAGGCGGCTTCAGCTAAAAGCCATGAGACTGCTGAAAATATAGCTAACTGGTAAAATACGACTCTGGGACCAGACACATAGAACATTCCAAGTAATACTCCGACCTGGCAAAAAGCACGAAGCAATCATGTCTCCCTTTTTAGGTACGATGTTCTCTTCCACGATTGCTTTTCTATCGAAGTAAGGAAGTTGTGTTGAAGAACTCCGTTGGCCCGTTTATGCGTGTACGCAACGCTCTCAACCGAACGAAACGAAACGAAACGTAGTAATCGACGGACGTCAACGTCTCACTTTCCTGCTACGTTTGTACAGCCTAGGCGACTTAGCTGTCTGTTTTGCTGCTAAACTAAAACGCACTAAAATCCTTATACTTTTTAACATTTTATCTTACTTGCTGCTGTTAACATTTTATAGTATAGTAACTAGCTACTTCTAGATAAAGTTTATAAGCTTAATTAAGTTACTTTTTATAACTTAATAACATAGCTAATTCTTCTGCAATTAAAGCGCCTTAATAGTAGCCCTAGAGAGAGAACCTCTATTAATTATAACTGTACACTAGCCTCTACTAAAGGCTCTCTCGCAGTCGCAGCTAGTGGAGGGTATAGCAAGGAAGTTAAGGGCGATTTTAAATAGTGTAGGATACTGTTTTTAACCTACTTTAAGCCACTAAGTAAGAGGGCTAGCTTACAAAGAATAGCTGTCTCTTACCTTAGTATTTTAAAGGTCTTTTATATAAGTGTTAAAGTATTACTGTAACTCTATTATTTTCTAAGCTTTCTTATAACTTTAGGCCTTAGTAAAGAGAGAAGTGTTAACTATAAAAGCCTTTTAGTAATAAGAGTTATAAGAGCTTGTTACTAGAAGCTTTTACTAAGAGGAATTTATATTAACTTCCTTATCTTCTTTAGCATTAATGTAACGCTAGAAAATAACTTTTATTAAGGTCTCTGCCTTCTAGTACTAGGATTAGTAATAACGCTAGTAGTTCTTAAACTAGAGTATACAAAGTTGTAAGTTAAGTATAGTAGTAATTACTAAGTAAAAAATAAAAAAATTAATAACTATTTTTTAGAAATATATGTTAATTTTTTTAAGTCTAAAGGAGACACTGTTTTTAAAGTAACTATTATTAAGCTTAAAGAAAAGTTTTTTTTTTATCTACAACAGCTTATTATACAGCACTTGCATATTAATAATAGACATTTATAAAGAACTGTGCTTACTGTTGCCCTCTAGCTATTTTATTATTTAATAAAAAACTTTAAGAAACTTAGTAAAGTGTTTAACCTTTTTCTAGTCTTTTTTACTAATAATCTCTTAAAGAGCTGCGTTGCTAAGTATGTTAGAGTCCTTAGTGTTGTTATCTGTGCCACGCTACTTCTAGATAAACTTAGTAATTAGATCCTTAAGCTCTAGGCACTATACAAGCATTAGATATACAGAATGCTAGCAGACGCTGCTGTCCTGTATTAAATTAAGTGTACTAAAGCTCTAGAGCTTATTTTCTTCCCTTAGAGATAATTATACAGCTATAAAGGCCTCCTAGTGTTTATGTAATAAGAGAATAGTATTAACAAAGTTATATAGCTTACTAATAACTCTATGTTTACAATAGAGCTTAAACTAATCCTAGAGAGCTGCGTTTATAAGAGCAGCTTTAAATTACAATAATCCTTTACTATAGATAACTGCCTTTAGCACTAATTAGATTATATAGCCTGTACAGTGTATACAGTGCTCTTTATTAAGGTTAACTCTAAGATATTTAGCTAAAGCGTTAATAGTAAAGTTGTTATTATTAAATGTGTTATTAGTAATAAAATAACTAAATTTTAACACAATTTTATAATTCTAGATAATTTTAAAGATAGCCTGCGCTTAGTTAGCCTTTATATAGTTACTATAAAGGTTATAGAAGCTAATAAGTAAGTCTTATTATTAATAATTAACATCTATAAAGTAAAAGTTAGTTATTATTTATTATTAGTTTTCTAAGCTAAGACGCTAAAATAGCCCCTCTAAAGTTTTGCTAAACTTACTAAAAAAGTAAGCTACTACTCTAAGAAAGAAAAAGTAGTTTAGTAAAGTCTATATATTAACACTTAACACTACCTTTAACTTAGCTAATCTTAATATTATTTAAATCTTCTCCTTCTAGCGCGTTAACCTTTACTTTATATATAATAATATTATTACATCTAAGCTTAAGATAGCAGCAAGAAGATCTAGTTAGTTCTAAGTAAGAAAGCCTTAAAGTTTAGCTAAAAATGCTGTTATAAATAATATATTATAAAGTATAACCTAGTCTACTAACAACCTCTGCAATAACCCCTTTTGCTAAAGATTATAGGAAGCAACTTAGGCTAAGCCTGCTACTATAGCAGCTGTTGCTGCCTAAGAATTAGGTAAAGCATAAGAAAAATTAAGTAAAAAACCTCTATTACTACTAATATTAATTCTATGCTTTTTTTTAAGATAGTAGCTAATATAGCTATAGCTGTTAACTATTTTAGTAGTAGCATAATTGCCTTTATAATAGCAGAGTTAGTAAAGCTAGAGCTTTACTCTTAAGCCTTCTTTAGTGTATAGCAAGTTAGCTTTATAGTTCTACACTACTAACGCCTTTCTGTTACCTTAGAGCTAAAAAGAGTGTTTTACATAGTAACCTAGCTCCTCTGCCTTTAGCTTTTTGCTAGTAAGCTATATATTATCCTACTTTATTAGAAACATAACTCCTAGATTAAGGAAAAAATCTCTAGAGTGTTCTTTTATATAAAAATTATATATAAGAGCTAGAGAGCTATTATAAGATAAAGACTTTAATAATAATAATTATAACTTCTTTAGGTAACAGGAACAAGTGTAATAGATTACATTACTACTCTAGGTTAACTAAAAGCTCTAAAAGCTCTGCAACTAGCTAGTGCTCTGCGTAGAGGCTTGTTAACTAAGGAAATTGCGCATAGTTAACATAATATTAAGATATAAAAAGATTTAGTAGTGTTAATTTAAGTAGAAAATGCTGCACCTAGGTTATTAAGCAATCTTACCCCTTAATTAACAACTAGCTTATTAAAAAACTTGTCTAACAGTGCCACAGGTCCCTACCTATTAATGTCTAAGCTAATAGGTAATCCCTACCTAAAAGTTAAGCTTTTAAGACGCAGTACAGTCCGCAGCTATAACTTATAAGACAAAACAAAACGTACAAGGACTATACTACGTTTGCTACGGCTCACGTGACAGTACTGACACGAAAAGTATGAAACGTAATTCGTACGGTTGAGAGCGTTGCGTGTACGTCAAAGGTGACTATACGCGAGAAGGCTTGGTGGAGACAGCGTAAAAAAGGACTTTGAGTAGAAATTATACTATAGCTTTTTGAGGGACGCGAATATGGTTAGTGTAGATGTTTGAATCTGTTACTTATATACCTCTCCGTACCTCTCGGGTTCGGGAGAACGCACGGCCTTCCAATATCCATACTAATATACATCAAACGCACTTTGAATCGGTCGTATAGATCTAGACTACAATGGAGGAAAGAAACTTGAGATGTTGGGAGTTTGGCCAGAATTGACAGGGAACGATAGAGTCAAGCAGTCACTGTCAGCGACTTCTGGGTGATATAATATTTTGGCCTCGGAGTCCGAATTTTTGGGAGTATCTGAGAACCCAACGGGTCTGCTTCTCTGCCAATAGAGTATGCTATAAGGTTAGGCTCTTACATGGGGAGAAAGATCACGCAATCTTATGGCGACGCTTCTACTCCCAAGACAGAAAAGAAAATCTTGGCCTGGAAGGGTTAAAAGAAGGTCTAGCTTCGAGCCACTAAAGGATAGGAGCTGTTAGGGTCTGTACTGTTAAATACTAATGGGACTAGTTTTAAAGAGGAGTGTACTATTCACCGATACATTGTACGTAGTTTGACCTCTATGTCGTCAATATTGACTATGCTGCGCTTGCTGCTCCTGGCTTCTAGCCGCAACTGCCCCGCTGATTGAAGTATTACCTATGTCCTAATTTATCGTAGAGCAGTACACGTAATCCATCTGAGTATCTTGTAGAGGGCCCAGGTAAATCAGCGCCTGACGCTAGCCCCAGGAATGCATAGTCATTGTGCATGCCTACTATATGATTAGTGGTATAAACATCGCGGCTCATGGTCGTGGACATGAGGAAGCTAGCCAACCCCATATCATAGCATTATGTGTTTGCCGAGCGCCGGAATTGTCTGCATCTGCTGCCATCTGTGCCAACCGCTGTCTGATAGACAACACAAATCTGCGGCGTTTCCAATGAAGATCCGGAGTCTTTGAGCGCAGCCTCGCAGCCGTCCCACGCCTGGAGAATAAAGCTCACCAATAATTCGAAGACGCTGGATCCTCCAGATAGCAAGTCTTGGCTTGCGTGGTAATAATCGCTCGTGATTTGCCAGGCCGCTTCGGCCAGCGCTTCCAACCGTACGTACTACGACTCAGAAAAGTGAATAGTTACGGTCACGTGAGCTGTACAAACGTAAGAGGATTATTAATTGTAACATACAACTAAGAAAGGTCCTCTTACAGTCTGTAATACGTCTTAGAAAGTTAATTTTTTCTAGTAATATAGGACCTAATTAGACATCTATAGGCAAGCGTTAGAAGGGTGTTTAAGGGGGCGTTTTTAAGTAACAATAGGTAAAAACTCTATTATGTGCTACAAGTAAAAATGCGTTAGAGAGAGGGGGCTAGGGTATTAAATTCTATGTAAATAGTTAAATTTTTTTACACTTTATTAGCAGAGCTTGCTCTGCTTATTATATTCGGGTTTGCAGAACGAAAAGTTTAGCAGAATCTCCTCTTTTGGACGCGCTAGTTAGTCAGAATTTCTTCGGATAAACCCCGGTAACGCTGTTTCTCTGTCAGCTTATGTGTTTCTTATATTCTTTTTTAAAAAAAATGTATACCTAATGTAAGTGCACCTTTATGCTAATTTGCATGCAGTTTGCTCTAGCATGCGTTGTGTAAAACATATTTAAATTATGGTT